TGTATTCTTTCACCTTTGGTATTGCATCTGGAGTCCATGCTTTTTCCCAGAGGCCAAGGTTTAGTAAATGGAAAATAATCTAGCACATGGTAAAGGCTTGATGTTAGTTTCCTCCCTTATTCTTTTCAGTCTCACAGTTGATCAAAAAGAAAAAACTGAAGTAAAATTCGTAAGGAAATAGATATTTACTAGTTATAATCTAAGTAATTAATCTACCTTAATTTCTGTCTTCTTTGGAAAATGGTATGATAGGTGGTTGGAATTTTTTTTTCTCTCAACTTTCCTTTAGATTTACTTGGAAAAGAAAATAAAAGAAAAATATTGTTATGTATGATTATGGTAGAATGAAAAACCTTTTTTGCCATTTATTTTTTGAAGAAACTGGATTCTCAAATAGGATTGTGACTCAGGTATTTAACCAAAGCTCATGGGGTTTCTTCTCTATTTTCCAGATTTGCAATTTTGTTTTTTCAATTAAAAGAGAGGTACAGAGTCATTGGGGAAAAAAAAAGCTGGATGTCATAGAAGACTGTGAGTCATACGTTGATGACTATTGAGCCTGGGTGGTGGGTGAATTTGGATTTATTGTTCCCTCTGCTTTTGTGTATGTTTGAAAATGTCTATAATGGAAAATTTTTGAAAATCTTATCTGGCCAGTTACCAGCTCTGTTGCCTGGGGCAGGTTATTTGAATATTCTTAATTTTTCAACTGTCAGATGGAAATAGCATCTACTACCAGGGTGTTGTGTTAAGAAGTATCAGTAAATTACCTTGTGATACCTACCTTGTTGTAGATGTTCAGTAAACATTAACTCTTAGGAATAATAACGTGAATTATAAAAATTAATCCTCATAGCTACTTTCCAAAGTAGACAGTTTTATCCCATTTTGCAGATGAGAAAACTGAGAATTGGAGCAGTTACATATTATGCTGTGAATACATAAGAAATAAATAATGGAACTAAAATTTTGAGTCTGAGTTCTGACCTCAAAGTCCAGGACTCTTGAAGCCTCCTTGAAAAGGGAAGACTGCTATTTATGAAATTTTGTTTCTGTTATTTGAGATCATTTATATTATATTTTCTCAGATTTACTCTTCATCATAACTCTAAGGCATACCGAATGTCAGTCTGTAGCATTTTTTTAAAGAAGCACCTCAATTTTTCACATTTTTGCGTATGAGTAGTTAACTCTAAAAATATGCATATTTTACTTTAAAATATATTTGAGTTTGTAAGTTGAGTTTAAATATTGGCGATACCAATGTTTTTGTTGAAAAAAGGATGCCTTTTGTTTTTCCAAGTGAGTTTGGGTATGGGGTAAAACCTCTGTCTGAAAGTTGAAATGTTTATATTTTTGGTATTTTACCATTAGATGGTTTATTGGAAAGATTTATTGTATTTGATATAATGCATATTGTGTTTTTGTCATTGCTGAATTTATTAAAATCGTAATTTACAGTGTTATGAAATGAATCCAAAGGAAATCAGGACAAGAAGATGCCAACTGGGAAGAGAGCTTTGTCTTGGCTTGTCTGGTCAACTGCAGACTCTGAATTGCTCACTATAAAATAGAAATTATTCCTGTGAGGTTAAGAGACCTATTGTAAGAATTTCCTTTTATTCAACAAAATTTATTGACATACAACAGGTCATTACATGCTATGTGCTTCATTACGTGTTAAGTTTATTATAAGTTACGTGCTTGGTAACTTCTCTCCATGCCCACTGAATTTCCCAGCACATGATAGGTCCTCAGTTAATGTTTTGGGATAATGAATAGTGAAATGGCCTGTGAAAGCCTTGAAACTTTGGAGTAAATTTCTACCCTACTTTTTAAAGGATTATGAAATGTTCTGAACTTTTGCATTCATGAAATGCTTAAAGCATATCTCTAAAGCACTATCCTTAAAATGAGGGTTGATTAATATTTGGGGGGAAAATAGGGGAAATTGAAATACTATATATTTTTTTAAAATATTTTTTTCATATAGGAAATATGTATCATGTTATCTTTCTGTAATTCTTGAAACACTATTTCAATAATGTCTGGTTTTAGGTATAATTTTTTTTTTAACAGTGTAGCCTCATAAACTGAAAAATTGCTTTTTTCATAGACTACTTTTCATTTAATTAAAAATCTTTTGTGAGAAGTAGAAATTTGGATTGGAAAGATAACCATTGGACCTTTGGGTGTTTGCTTCTTTCTCTCTGGTATTTATTAAAGATTTCTTTCATTTGTTTTACCATTTTCCCCACATTCTCCTCAATGTTTACTTATCTGCTCAATCCAAGTGTATACATAAAGTAGTTTCGAAATTGCCAACTCATATCCTTCTGAAAAATAAATTTACTAAATAGAGTACAACACTGCACAGTTCTTTTGTCTTTATCCTTACAAAATACTGTCTTCCAACCAGAATAGTATATTGCGTACAGTTCTTTTTGTCTTTATCCTTACAAAACACCGTCTTCCAACTGGAATACTATATTGCATACAGTTCTTTTTGTCTTTATCCTTACAAAATACCGTCTTCCAACTGGAATACTATATTGCATACAGTTCTTTTTGTCTTTATCCTTACAAAATACTTTACAGTGCGGTTCGATTTTCATTTGTGATAGAGTTGGGTTTGTGGTTTTTGTTTTGAGTTCCCCCTACATTTCTTTATTTTGGGGGATACGTGAATGTTACCATTGTTCTAAGGGTCAGAGCTATACTGGGAGACCAGTCATTTGCCAGGGTATCCTCAGAGAGCTGTCATTTCCCTCATCCCTTCTATCCCATTTCCACCTGCTCCCTCTAGGTGACCAATCTCAGCAGCTTCTGGCGTATCTCTCCTCTTTCTTTTTTGGTACAAATGAGCAGATATATATGGTCATGCATCACTTAATGATGGGGATACTTAATGATGGGGATGAGAAATGTGTCATTAGGTGATTTCATCATGCGGGGACATCGTAGAGTGCACTTATATTATACAAACGTAGATGGTGTAGCTTACTGCACACCTAGGCTATATGGTATGGCGTTTTGCTCCTAGGCTACAAACCTGTACAGCCTGTCACTGTACTGAATACTGCAGGCAATTGTAACACAATGGTATTTGTGTATCTAAACATATCTAAACATAGAAAAGGTACAGTATAAATGCCGTATAAAAGATAAAAAATGGTATACCTGCATTGGGCACTTAGTGTGAATGGAGCTTACAGGACTGGAAGTTGCTCTGGGTCAATCAGGGAGTGAGTGGTTAGTGAATGTGAAGGCCTAGGACATTACCGTGCACTACTGTAGACTTTATAAACACCGTACACTCAGATTACACTAAATTTATATAACAATATTTTTCTTCAATAATAAACTTCTTTTGGAATACCTCCTGAGGGACCTGCCTGAGACTGTTTTACAGTTAATTATTTTTTAATAAGTGGAAGGAGTACACTCTAATAATAAGTACAGTATAGTAAATATATAAACCAGTAACATATTTATTATTACCAAGTGTTATGTACTGCACATAAATGTATGTGCTGTACCTTTATAAGACTGGCAGCACAGTGCATTTGTTTACACCAGCATCACCACAAACATACGAATAATGCTTTGTGCTACTATGTTTAAGATGCCACTAGGCTATAGGACTTTTTAAGCTCTATTATAATCTTGTGGGACCACTGTTGGATATGCAGTCTGTCATTGACTAAAACGTCTTATGTGGGGCATATCCCTCCCTCCCTCTCTCTCTTTCTCTCCATAAGCTCATATTTTCTTTCTTACATGAAAGGTAGCACACTCTAGATATTCTTTTGTGCTTTGATTTAATAACATTATGTTATTATAATATGGTCTTATTATATACAGTCTGCCTCTGTGTTGTGGGTTCTGCATCTATGAATTCAACCAAACGTGGATTGTTAATATTAAAAAAAAGTGTATGGTTGTATCTGTACTGACCATGTACAGACTTTTTTCCTTTTCATTATTCCTAAAACAATACAGTATGACAACTGTTTACATAGCATTTAGATTGTATTAGGTATTATAAGCAATCTAGAGATGATTTAAAGTACACAGGAAGACATACGTAGGTTATGTGCAAATTCTATACCATTTTATGGAAGGGACTTGAGCATCTGTGGATTTTGGTATCTGTGGGGTCCTAGAACCAGTCACCCACAGATACCAAAGGATTACCATATATTAGTAATATATCCAGTTTATCCACTTAATGCATCCAGGAATCATTCCTTATTAGTTCATAGAACAGTTCTAATTCTTTTTTATAGTTGCATAGTATCCCACTGCATGGATGTGCCGTATTTTATTCAACCACTCTCCTGTGTTTGGGCATTTATATTCTTTTTAGCATTTTGTAGTTATAAACTGCTGTAGTGAATAGGCTTGAGTACATATATACTTTTGTTTTTGAGGTATATCTTTAGAGTAAATTCTTAAGAGTGAGATTGCTGTATTAATAGGTTAATATAGGCCGGGCGCGGTGGCTCACGCCTGTAATCCTAGCTCTCTGGGAGGCCGAGGCGGGCGGATTGTTTGAGTTCAGGAGTTCGAAACCAGCCTGAGCAAGAGCGAGACCCCGTCTCTACTAAAATTAGAAAGAAATTAATTGGACAACTAAAAATATATAGACAAAGTTAGCCGGGCATGGTGGCACATGCCTGTAGTCCCAGCTACTCGGGAGGCTGAGGCAGGAGGATGGCTTGAGCCCAGGAGTTTGAGGTTGCTGTGAGCTAGGATGATGCCACGGCACTCTAGCCTAGGCAACACAGTGAGACTCTGTCTCAAAAAAAAAAAAAAAAAAAAGTTAGTATATGTTGCATTGTTAGGTATTGCTAAATTTCCCTCCAAAGGGTTATATGTGATGCCCACTTTTTTTTTTGTTATTGTTGTTAGGTTATTCACCTTCAACTTGCCAGAACAGCAGCACTCTACAAATACCAGACATTAATATAACTTTTCTTTTACAGATCTTCCATGGTGGCTTATTCTAATTCGCCAGAAAGCATCGGTGGGCAAACTCCCAGGAGATCATGAGGTCTGTAAAGTTACCAAAATTGCTGTGCTGTCACTTTCTGAAATGGAACCTCAGGATCTTGAGCTAGAGGTAAAGTGAAATCAAAGGAAATTTTATGGAAACCTGATATAAATGTAATAGCAAAAATATGAGGATTTGGTTCAATAGACCAGAAACATGCATTTTTAGAGCTGGATAATGTCTTTAAAATAATCCTGTAGTTTTCAAATTTCATTTTAGTAGTGGAACTCTTATTTCAAAATCTATGAAATTCAGTATATAAGACACATAAAAAGCAGGGCTTCTCTGGTTGAGATGGTGTTGGTGGGGGGACAGGGGGGCTCCTTAGGACCCTGTCCACTTGGTCTCTTCTGAGGAAGCCACCTTCTGCTTCCAGAGAGCCCTAGGGCTTTGCACAGTATAGTTCAAAAACTCCTGATTTGGGGGAAACTGGGGAGTCAAGATGGAGAGATTTAACTTTTATTATATCCTTTTTTGTTCTTTTTTTTTTTTTGAGACAAAGTTTCACTCCGTCACCCAGTGCAGTGGTGAGATCACAGGTCACTGCAGCTTTGAACTCCTGGGCTCAAGAGATCCTCCCACCTCAGCCTCCCAAGTAGCTGGGACTACAGGCATGCCACCATGCCCAGCTAGTTGTTTTGTCCTTGTTAGAGACCAGGTCTCCCTGTGCTAGGCAGGCTGGTCTCAAACTCCTAGCCTCAAGCAATCCTGTCTCAACCTTCCCAAGTGCTGGGATTATAGGCGTGAATCACGGTGCCTGGCTTATATCCTCTTTTATCTGTATTTCTTGAAATTTTTCTAAAGCATATATTTCTCTTGTAATTTTTTTTTAAGGAAAGAAAACTACTGATCTAGTGTGATCTTTTCATTTTCTAGGCAAGGGCTCAAGCCCCCAGGCAGAGTGACTTAAGGCCAAAATAATAATTGTTTTTAATAATTTCGTTATTGTATTAAATGATATTTTTTTACCACAAGGTGCTGCCTCCTGGTAGAAGTAACCCATGAAAGCATTTATATCCTGTCTGCTATGGGTGTGGGGACTTGACATCTAGAGATTGTCATCTCTCTGACATAACCTATTTTGTTCACTATGCGATGTGCCAGGCAGGCCCTGTGTGTCACATGGATCATTACATTTGGTCCCTAGGACCACCCTATGGGGTGGGCACTGTTACAGATTAAGTCACACAGCTGGCACAAGTTGGGTCTGGATCTAGACTCAACCAGTCTGGGCCTGTATCACTCTGCTGAGCTGCCTCCCTGTCGCCTGAACAGCAGGTAACAGATAAGAGAGCACGTACCGCCCCACAACTCAATACGTGTTTTTCTGTGCTCAATTCTTGGGGAGGATGTTTCAGGACAGGGTTTAAATTGCTTTAAAAAAAAAAAAAAAGTAAAAATATGGTTATTTTTATGCTTTAGATTTCACTGGAAGTTTGACAATCTAATTTTAAGAAACTAAAATGAATTTAAGAGGACCCTGATATTAACTATTTGTTACAGGAATCAAAAAAAGATTAGAGTACTTCTCCTTTTAGTACCAGCGCTAGCATGCCATTTAACTAATTGACTGTTGCTGATCCAGAGACAAAGAATTTAGGTGGCCATTAATTAGGCCTATTAAAAGCAGATGTTTGCAGTTTTTGTTTGCATTTTATTTTGGTGAGGAGCAGCCAGACTAACAAAAATTGTATTGGTTTCTTAAGAGAGTAAATTTGTCATCAGTGTCTTTTGGATGGCTTTGCTGACCGATTGAAAGATCAGCATCACTTCCTGTCACCAACCTTTCCCACTAGGCACTCAGTTTGAGAGCATTAAGCCTGAGGTCTCTGGCAGCTTGATGGAGAGCAGGGGACTGGCTTGTCCAGCACTTTGTCCACCCCCAGCCATCAATTTGCATATTTGGCACTCCCAGCCCAAATATGGGGAAATTAAATGGGGAAATTAAATGTCAAGCCTCATCCAGAGAAGGTTGGGACCCTTGTTGGACTTTTCAAAGAGGTTTTCTGACATCCTTCATGGCCACCAATCTATAACATTTTTGAGACTAGTAGCTGACTATAGGATAAATTTGGCAGGGGGCGGGGGAAGAAAATAACTTTAGGAAATAACATTTACATGGAATTTTTAAACAAAAATGTGAATATTATGAAAGCTTTAAGAATTTCTTTATTCTTCAGACTTTTCCTTTTCTCTCCTGATAGGCTAAGGAAAAGAGGTTATCTTCAAATAGGAAGGAAAATAAGATTTTTCCCACGTGACATAGTTGAGTATTTTTGTAGCTGTGGGCTGTGCAGTGTAAACCACAGCACTTATCAGGGCACCAAAGATTATGGTCCATGGAGAGAGTTGGATCTACGTAATGACTCTTGCTATTAGGGGTAAAAGTAACTGTAGAGAAAGCATTTCTGCATCCTATCTCAGTGAATAGGTTGGTATATTGTTCTCTCAAGACATTATAATTTTAGATATTTGTACTTGTGCCTCTTTAAATCCTGTTTTATACTAAAGGAACTTTGTAACAGTGAATAATAAGGGCGGAGAACAACTATGTTGAAAATCATGGATTTCTTATTTTTCTTCTAACATGTTCATTTAAATTGTGCTGTCCTTATTTCAGTTTCCAAATCACTCCATTTAAAAGGAGCTTTTGAAAGCTTAATCATTTTTATGTTTCTCTGATTATACGGTAAATTGTAAAGGAGAAGGAAAAAATCCCACCGCCTAGAAACAATCATTGTCAGTGTTCTAGGGAGTCTCAGTGGTTGTTTCCGTTTGCCCCCACGCTCTTTGGAGGAACAATATTGTTTTTAAGTTTTTCAGAACAGTTTTTATATTTTTCATTTTTGCATATTTTTTCCTACTTAACTCCTGTTTTTATGAACAGACATATCTTATGCACATAAAAAGACTTCGTTAAACAAAAATAGTTGTTTTGTCTTCTTTGTGTGTCTTTATGATTTGGGTGTCTGTGTAGCACGTTGAATAATCGGCTGCTTTTATTTTCTCCAGCAGCACCCTTGGGCTCAATTATCGTGGTCACTGTTCTCAGATTTGTTAAAGCCTCATCTGTCTTCTGCAACTGGAGCAGAAGCAATTTTATTTCAGAGTCTGGTATTAATAGAGTTTCTGGTTTCCTGCCTCAGTTGCCTTTTTACCTCATGTGTATGCCTTATTTGTTTGCCAGATTTTTTTTTTTTGTAATTCACATACCATATTGTTCACCCATTTAAAGTATATAATTCAGTGGTTTTTAGTATATTCAGAGTCACGTGACCATCACCACAATCAATTTCAGAACATTTTTGTCACCTCCCCCGAAAACCCTATCCTATTAGTAGTCATTCCTCATTTCCCTCCAAACCTGAGCTCCCCCAGCCCTCCTCAACCACTAATCTTTCTGTCTCTCTTAATTCATCTATTATAGACATCTCTTATAAAGGGAATTATATAACATGTGGCCTTTGTGACTGACTTCTTTCACTTGGCACATTTTCAAGGTTCATGCTTGTCATAGCATGTATCAGTACTTTATCCTTTTTATTGTCACGTAATATTCCATCGTATGGGTATACCACATTGTATCCATCCATCAGTTGATGGACATTTGAGTTGTTTCCACTTTTTTGCTATTATGAATAATATGACTATGAACAACCTTGCATACCAGTTTTTGGTGGACATTTGTTTTCATCTGTCTTGGGTATATACCTCGGAATGGAATCGTGGGGTCATATAGCAACTGTTTAGCCTTTCGAGGAACTACCAGTTTTTCAAAACAATGTACCATTTTAACAAAAATGATCTACGCAAAGGTATGAAGACTCTGTAGGGTTCAAATAAATGAAAACATAGATGTTCTTTCTTTTGAAAAAATACCCTTTAAAGTTTATAGGCTTCTGTTCCATGTCTGCATATCTTTTTTTTTTTTATTTTTTTTGAGACAGAGTCTTACTCTCTTCCCTGGGGTGAGTGCCGTGGCGTTCAGCCTAGCTCACAGCAACCTCGAACTCCTGGGTTCAAGCAATCCTACTGTCTCAGCCTCCTGAGTAGCTGGGACTACAGGCACGCGCCACCATGCCCGGCTAATGTTTTCTATATATATTTTTAGCTGTCCAATTAATTTCTTTCTATTTTTGGTAGAGACGGGGTCTCGCTCTTGCTCAGGCTGGTCTCGAACTCCTGAGCTCAGAACGATCCGCCCGCCTCGGCCTCCCAGAGTGCTAGGATTACAGGCGTGAGCCACTGCGCCCGGCCCCATGTCTGCATATCTTATTTGCTATATCTCATTGCCTTAATAGATAACGGTATCATCTTCCATATTTAATTTCTCATCAGACATCTGTTTGAAATTTTAGCTCCAGATGGATATAGATACCAACTTTTAAAGTAAAATCATTTATTTTCCTTTTGTCGAATAGCAGCAATATCAAGCCTTAATGTTGGCTGTGAAATGTAAGTTGCAAGAGTAATAGAAAAACTAGGGGAGTTCCATAGAGCTGGTGGTGGTGGTTCTCTTTTTGAGATCATGTATATCGAAGTTGTGATAAGGGCCTAACCACACACCACACAGGACTGGCCGGGCCTCTGGAAAAGGGAAGGTGATCTGCTGTCAGCGCTCTGCGTTGTAATGCCAAGGGCTCTGTCTAAACAAAATATCTTAGGACTGGAAGGGATCCCAAGAAGTAATTTTTTTTAATCCCTGTTTTTTGGCAGGACTGAATTTAACTGTTTCAGGAGGATAGTGGTCTATAGTACTTTCTCTTCTAAAGAAGATTTAAAATACTCGTTGGAAATGTTTGTGTTTATAGGAATGTAAAATGTCTATTTAGAAAAATCAGTTTTGAGGGAGAGAAGGCCTTCCAGTGAAGGTGATTCAATGAGTTCGTGCTTTGTCATACAGACCCGTGATCCTTTTCCTAACACTTTGGGGCCATATTGGTTTTAGAATTCAGGTTTTGGGGAGTTTTCAAAAGTTTATTCCACGTATTCTTTACACTCCCAGTGGGTCTGGAGCATTACCCCCAATACAGCACTTTAATATTTCTTAAAGAATCGTGTGAATATTCATATGAAGGGAGGTAAATGATGACTATCAATATCGTCATATCTGTTGAGGGCATGTTTTGCCATTAAATGAGTTTTCAACAAACTTAAAAAAAATAAACTTTCAGGTTTCAGAGTTTTCTGGATTTTGGAGTTGTGGATAAGGAAGTTAAGAGATGATGGGCCTATATCAACTCTGTTCCAAGCCTGAAATGAGGTTAGATAAAAGAAAGAAAAACAGGAAAACAAAGAAGACATTGCCAGGCTTTTAAGAAGCATCTTTATAGACTGTAAAAGGAACAGTAGGTCAAACTAAAGCCTGGGCCTTCTAGATCCAGAAGCCGGCAGTAGCAGGTGGAAATTTGGTCCCTACACAGTAAAGGGGACGAAAAGGACTCCATGGGAGGTAGGAGCCTGGAGCCAGGCTTAGTACCTGAAGCCTGGTGCTCAGGTAGAGCTCCCAGATCATGAGAGGTGGCTGTCAGATTGTCTGCACTGAGTGGGATAGTCCTGCATAAAGAATCTCCCATCTGCTGTGCCAGGAGCACTTCCATTGAGAAGCGTTGGTCCGGCCAAAAGATAAAGATCTGAATTAACTCAGTAGCAATGGGCAGGAAGTGGTTGGGGTTGATAGGAGAATGTAAAGAAGGAGGATAATGCAAGATGACTCCAAGTTTTCTTGCTTAAGTGGTTCAGTGGGTGGTGTAGTCGGTACCTGAGATAGGGCATGCTAGAGAAGGAACAAGATTTGGGAAACAGATGTCGATCAGTTTTGGAGATGCTGCATTGGAGGGACTAGTGTGTCTCAGAGGGAGATGTCATATGTAAGGGTCTTGAGCTCAGGGTGAACAAGTGGGGTTAACAAACATAGTACTAGTTAAAATGAGGAAAGAGGGTAACATTTCTAGACAGAGCAGGAAGAATGAGAAGAGAGCTGAGGATAGATGGCTGGGAACACCACCATGTTTAGAGACAGAAAGACATCAACAGAGGAAACAAAAGGAGCAGCTACAGGTCGGGAAAGAACCCCTCAGATTGGTGTCATGGAGACCAGAGGAGGAGACAAAAGGGAGTGGTCATCAGTGCCCTATGTTTACGTTTATCTCTTTTTCTGAGTTGAGGAGGCCTGAGCCGTTTCCTTGGAGCCTTCACTCTTTGACCTCTCTCGGTCCCACTATAGTCCTCAAAATTCCAGGGACTGTGACAGTGTTTGCATCCTGCTGGCTCTCAGAGTGGATTCCAGGATTGAGGAATGGATCTAAACAAAAGATTCTGGCATACGTAAACATGTCAGTAGGTGTTAGGAAAGGGGCTGTTAGAAGGAGAGAGGTTGGGAGAGGAGAAAGGGCTGAATGATGAGACAAGGTCCTGACCCTGGAGGAGGAGAACAGACTCGTCCTTCCGAGAGCGAGGTTGTGGGTGCAGACCCGGCGTGCCGCTGCAGGCGTACTTCAGGATAGCTGAGCTCTGATGGATTCCTGGTGGGGAGTTTTGCTGCTTTTAATGCTCTTAAGGAATAACTATGCCTGACAACTGCATAATATCCTGCTTTGAATATTAAAATTGCAAAAATTCATAACTAGGTTTGGGGCATGTTTTCAGATTTTTAAAAGAAAGTGGTGTTAATGACTAAATAATTACCAACATTCTATATAAAAATTGCTATCCAACAACTGCTTAGTGCCACAAGCAAAGCAGCAGCAGGGACTAAAGGGAGAGCATCTTTTAAAAACTGCTTCTCTGCTGCCATAGCGATCCCACTCCAAGGAGGGTGGGGTGTGTGCGATGTGTTCCTGGAAGCAGGGGAGTGATGGTTTCCCCAGGACTACTATGTGCCCCGTATGTGGATATGGGGGTTCCACTTGTATTTGTATTAATAGCATCAGAGCCTGTTCATTCATTTAACAAATATTTATTGAAACCTCCAATGCCAGGCACTGCTAAGGCACTGGAGATACTAGTCCACAGAACAAAGATCCCTGCCAATTATGGAGCTTATGTATAGAAAGGGGAGACAGCTCATAAACATCAGCATGATAATTACGTAGCATGTTAGAAAGTAACACATGCTAATGGAAATAGAAGTTGAGCACAGTGAGGGTAGTGGAGGGAGTGCCCAGGAGTGGAGACTGGCAGGATATCTGGGGAGAGGGCATTTGGTCAGAGAGAACAGCTAGAACAGCAGCCCTGGGGAGGGAGCGTCCTAGTGCGCTGAGGAGTAGCAAGGAGGCCAGTGTGGGCGGAGTGAGTGAGCAGGGGAGGAGAGGAGGGAAGGGTGGTGGAGGTGAAGGTCTAGTCTTAGACATACTGAGTCAGATCTTGAGATGTAATGAGTTTGAGATGCCTGGTGGAAATCCAAGTGGAAATGTTGGGATATGTGGGGCTGGAGTTTTGGGAATGAGCTGGGCTGGAAATATACATTTGGGAGGGAGGGGTTGGCACGTGGGTGGTATTTGAAGCCGTGAAACTGAGTGAAGTCACTGAAGGAGCGAATGCAGATGGAAAAAGGAACCAAGGACTGAATCTTGGGGAGCCTGGACATCAAGAAGTCAGGTGGTTGGAAAGGATCCAGTTGAAGAGATAAAGGAGCCCCCAGTGGAAGCCAAGTGCAGCCGTTTATCAGAGGACGAGGGAGTAAGGAACCAAGAGATGCTACTGAGAGGTTAAGATCAGAACCAAGAGCTGACCGTTGGGTTTATAAGTGGAGGTCATTGATCACGCTGAAGATAGCAGCTTGGGAGAGAGGTGGGGGGCCAAAGCCAGACTGGAGTGGGCTGGGGAGAGAGAACAGGGCAAGTGGGGCTGGAGGCAGCGGGGAGCACAAAGTGAGGGGCTACTGACTGGCTGAGGAAGAGGCCACACAGGTGTGGAGAGGCGACCAACACCGTCTGTGTGCAGCCAGATGGATCAGGGCAGGGCAAGGAGAGGTTTGTTGGAGAGGCATCTATATGCTTGGTTCTTTGCTCCTTCTCTTTCGGCTCAAGATCGTGTTAGTTTTGCTTATTTGGAGGAAAATTAAGTTAGCAAAGTTTTGGCAGTAGGACTATAAATCTTTTCTGCCTCATCTTTAGTTCCCTTGTCTTTAATGGTAGGGCAATAGTTTAAAGCTGCATGAAACCCGTGTGAATGGCTTTTAGTTTTCGATAGCTGTCATTTTGAAAGGCATAAAATTAGCTAGAGATTCCATTGCATGTGAAAACTTGGTCCAGTTATTTGTCTCTACTTTTAAATTTGATAAAACAGGGATGGTCTCTTTTTATTTTTTTTATTTTTTATTTTTTTGAGACACAGTCTCACTCTGTTGCCCTGGCTAGAGTGCCGTGGCGTCAGCCTAGCTCACAGCAACCGATCCTTCTGCCTCAGCCTTCCAAGTAGCTGGGACTACAGGCATGCGCCACCATGCCTGGCTAATTTTTTCTATATATATGTATTTTTAGTTGTCCAGATTGTTTCTTTCTATTTTTTAGTAGGAGCAGGGTCTCGCTCTTGCTCAGGCTGGTCTCAAACTCCTGACCTTGAGCGATCCACCCGCCTCGGCCTCCCAGAGTGTTAGGATTACAGGCGTGAGCCACCGCACCCGGCCTTCTTTGTTTTTTTAATAATCAAAACTTGAACTAGCTTTTGTTTTCCTCATTTATCATCTGTTAATAGTTATTTTGTAAGTAAGACACTAGTAATAAGCACTTAGTAACTATTAGCTCTTGCTAGGCATCTCCCACTTAGTGTAGCAATAAAACTAGTTTGTTGACAAAAATGGAATTGGGCTGTGTATTTTTAATAGAATTCTTGTGTACCTTTGAGAATATGTGCTTTGTGTGTTGAGCCACATGAAAGTATATATGAAACCCTTGACTTTCTTTAGAGCTCTCCATGCGTTCTCTTAACATGGCCACGTTCCCGTCCTCTTCCTCACCTCTCTCAGTTGGCCTGCACATTTCCTGCAGCCCCCAATTACTGCTTCTTCAAATTTAACTACTCTCTGGACCCAAAGTGTATGTTATAAGCTGATTTCATTAGTGAGGATGGGAGGAGAGCAAGTGGTTGAAATGTCCAGCTTTTGAGATTCCCCTGGAACAAACTCTTAAGACCTCTTCTCAACCAGAACACTCAGCTAATTAGCATGAATGAATATTCAGCACAGATACCTGTAAAGTAATGACCCTGAAGTATAGCAAATGTGTATTTTCAACATTTTTTTCCTTAGATGCTAATTTTCAAAGCATTAATAACCTCAACCAGAACATTTTATTCTTCAGTTACATTAGATAAGAACTTACCATTGTGATCCTAACCTGAATTTTCCACCTCTAAATCCTAAGTATATCCTGCCCTCTATTTTTGTGTCTTCTGCTCTACAGTAGCTTTCTAGTATGGAAACCACAGCTGCGTTTTCCATCAGTTGTCTACTAGGTCATTTTAATCAAATGCATGAGAGGTAGCATTCACTTCTGCACTCCAACTTGAACATTTAACAAGGAGATATGAGTAATAACACATCATCTTTCTCTTCCTAATTATTTAGCTCTGTAAGAAGCATCACTTTGGGATTAACAAACCAGAGAAGATTATACCATCTCCCGATGACTCGAAGTTTCTACTGAAGACCTTTACACATATTAAATCCAATGTGTCTGCTCCTAATAAAAAGAAAGTAAGAATTTAATTGATACAGGCTTTGAATTTATCTTTAATTTTAAATTGAGGAGTAATTTTCCTCTTAGTAAATTTATTTTCAAACCATTTGTTATATTGAAGGTACTGTCTGCTCATGTCCTTGGGATTATTTTCACTTTTCTCCTTGGAAGTCACGTATTATCCACATAATACTTTCCATTTAATTCCTTCAGTAACAGATTCATTTCTTACAGGTTAAGGAAAGTAAAGAAAAAGAAAAGTTGGAGAGAAGATTACTTGAGGAGTTGCTGAAGATGTTCATGGACTCAGAATCCTTTTACTATAGCTTGACCTATGACCTGACCAATTCGGTGCAGAGACAGAGCGCTGGGGAGAGGGATGGCCGGCCCCTCTGGCAGAAGGTACCACTTACAGCTCAAAGAATAGGGTTTACCCTCTGGAACAAATGATGGCCTGTTTTGGCTTTTATGGGAAAACTGAAATATTGCGTTTCTGAACTGCTTTTTCTCTACCTTTTCTAGGTTGATGATCGATTTTTTTGGAATAAATATATGATACAAGATCTTACTGAGATTGGTGTGAGTAGTTGTTTTTAAAATGTCCTAATTTGTAGTTGTTAAGTGAATGTTTTTTAATGGTATTAAGATAAATTTTATTTATCTTTTTACTTATATTTTAATTTTTTTAGAGACAGGGCCTCACTCTGTTGCGCAGGCTGGAGTGCAGTGGCACAATCATAGCTCACTGTAGCCTGGAACTCCTGGGCTCAAGTGATCCTCCCATCTCAGCCTCCTAAGTAGCTGGGACTTATAGGCACGTACCACCATGCCCAGCTATTTTTTTTTCTTTTATAAAATAAATTTTAAAATCTCACTGGAATGTTTTCCCCTATAGAATGGGAATCATTTAGCTAGGGAAAACCAAGGTGTTATTTTAAGGCACTTTACAATTCCATTGCCTAGCCACAGGCCTATCTTTTTAGCAGGTTCCTGTAGGATAGGAGTGGTTTAAGACTGTGGAGCTAATGTCTGTAGCATTCCTGTAAGAGGTATTTTGTTTGTACTGGGAATGTTGAAGCCCAGTTTTCCTGTAATGATACCAGTCATTTACCTTCCTTGACCTCTGTTTTCTCACCTGGGAATGGGAGTAGACAAATCTCTAAGGCCATTCCAGTGCTGCTAGTGTTCGATTCAGGGAAGACACAAAATATGGTGACATTATTGCATGAAGTTCCTTCTGGTTTGATGATTACTTTCTTCCTCAACTCTGTTGCATATATTGGAAAATTATGACGGTCCAAAGACAGTTTGTTCATTCGATCAACAGATATTTATGGAAGGCCTGCTGTGTGCCACTTACTGTTTTGGACACTTAAACAGAGCAGGCAAATAGCTGAACAGGGCCATGTATTTTTTTCTTAACCTTTCAGAAATTTCAAAGCTTCTTTCTTGCTGTTTCTCCCCCTTAGTGATGGTTAGCATAAATGATTTTTATTTTATCTAGCGGTGTCTGCCACCGGATATCTATCATGCCTCTATTGAGAATGAGGCATGAGATTGTTTCACTTCTGTTTATGATGCTGATCAAACTATGACACCAAAACCCAGTGATAGAGGAGAAAATAAGGGCATCTGTAATGAGCGTTTGTCCTGTATGCCGACAGTATTGAGCTCTAATAACGTTTTGAGTTTTTGTCAGAATGCTTTTCCATTACCATTTAAAACTGACAACTGGAAATAAAGGTGACATTTGTCCACATACATTTCTCTGTTCCTATCAAGAGTTTTGCATTTATTGCTAGAACAAAAATATAAATAATGGGAATGGTGATAAGAAAAATGAATGCAGATAGACCCTTCACCTCACTGTTTTCAACTCTAGCAGCCTTCCTGAGATCCTATCTGCAGGCCTCAGAAAACAAAACAAAACTGTGAGATAGGACCTAGAGTATCTGATGATGGAAGAGGATGTGGATTTGGAGTTAATGCTGAGATTAAGACTGGGTACTGCTTATGGAGATAAGAGGGAAAGCAGGACTCCAGAATGACTGTTTGGAGCATTTTTTTTATCCTGTTCTGTCTGTGCGTGCGGTCAGCTGAGAAATCTGAGTATTCTGAGTCTGAAAGACAAAGAAGAGGGAATCTTTAATCAATACTCTCCTAATTATATTGGGTGACATTTTAAAATAAGACATTTATGGAAAGGAACTTTTTTCTGATTCATTTACTACTCAGATTTTAGCTTGGTGAAGCAAGTTTTTTCCTACACTAGAAAATAAAGTAGACCTACGTGTTTCATAATAAAGTGATCAGAGTTGGCTGTATTTTATTAAAGCCTTAATACAATTGGGAGTTGAGAATCAGTCTTTAAGCTTTATTTTTCTATACCAATAGGAATAATCATGATAGCTACATTTGTTAAATACTATGTGGCAGGCATTGTGTTAAACACTTGATTTGTATTATCCATTTAATCTTCACAACAACCTTGCGAGGTAGTTGTTATTTCTATTTCGCAGAGGAGGACAGCGAGGCAAGTGAGGGTGGTTCCCCTCGGTGAGTTAATAAGTGGTGGAGCTTGGATTTGTACCCAGCAGTTTGACTTCTATGCTGTGTTCCCTCTCAGTCAGCTCTTTTTGAATTACGACCATAAAGAAAAGGAGAGAGACCCTCCCTCCTTCCCTGCCTTCCATAGTGTTCTCCAATAAGCAGAAAATATGGTTGAAGGATAGGTTTCTGCTTCTAATAAACTGACAAACATATGCTGGCTACTGTTTGGATTTAAGAAAGTAGCAGTGCTGTACAGAATAGAAATAATATGATGTTAATATTATTTTCAGACACCAGATGTGGACTTTTGGATTATCCCCATTATCCAAGGTTTTGTGCAGATTGAAGAACTTGTGGTTAATTATAATGAAACGTCAGATGATGAGAAAAGCAGCCCAGAGACCCCCCCTCAGGAGTCCACTTGTGTAGATGACATTCACCCACGATTTCTAGTGGCTCTTATTTCACGCCGAAGTAGGCACAGAGCAGGTGAGTAGAGGGCTGTAATAGCATGCAAATCAAATCCTGGCAAGAATGGAAGAGCTGCAGATGTGTTGAAATGCTAATGACAATAATGGATTTGGAAGCATAGTTGAGTCAAAGTGCTTGGTGACTCTAAATACTGTGCAGTAATTGGAGACTAATTTTTGAGGAGGGGTGAATAGGGGAGTGTTAACAAAATGAGAAAGAAAAGGAGGTACGTAGTAAATATATAGAGAGAAGAGAAGAAAATCACTTGGGATGTGCTTCTGAATACCAGCATTCCAACTGACAGCCTGTATCAGTGATAAATCCTTCCTGAGTGCTAATACCTTGGGGAAAACTCTTCTCTGTTAGTTCAGAGGAACTATCTTAGCTTCAGCTTGTTAAAAACAATGATGCATACAGTTATGATTTGGGGTAAGTTGATACTGTTCTGCTTGGCAGTTGCACATTGAATCCCCAAGGCTTTCCTGGAAGATGTACATTTCATTAGGAAGCATAATCCAGTCAGACTAAATAAATTTTTAAAAATGTTGCTGAATTCTGTTTTAAATTTTTTCAGGAATGCGTTATAAACGAAGAGGTGTGGATAAAAATGGAAATGTTGCAAATTATGTGGAGACAGAGCAGTTAATTCACGTTCACAATCATACCCTGTCATTTGTTCAAACACGAGGCTCTGTGCCTGTCTTTTGGAGCCAAGTTGGATATCGATATAATCCAAGACCTCGTCTGGACAGAAGTAAGCACGTCCAGTATCTTGTTTGCAAATGATGATTTCAGAGAGAAGATTTTTTTAAAAATTAGATACTTGATGGGTTTGGATTTGCTTTGCCAGATACTTCATTCAAAATAATAATTTGTATTGGGAAATAATAATCACTGGAGTGAGTCATTGACTAAGTCATTTATTTAACAGTAAAAAATTTCTTTAATAAAGCAAAACAACTTATTTCACAGATTTAAATTGCTGTTGCTTTAGAGAATACTCTGTAGAATGTTCAACTTTGGAAAAGAGTAAATATAGAAAATATTTATAGAAGCAGGAAATGTCTTAAGATGGAATCTACCAAAAATCAATAAGATGTCTTTACTCAAATATTTCTTCATAAGTTTTTTTTTTGAAAAATATTGAGCATTTAATTTCTTCCAGTTTTTTAACTTTAGTATTGAAATAGCTAAGTCATTTAAATCTAGTAAGATTACTAAATGAAGTTGATTTTTAAAAATAGTTATATTTGTCTCTCAAAACTCAGTTTGTATTTGTGAGAGTTCAGTATAACTTCATTTTTTAAAAAATGTTTTATAGGGGTTTTTATTCTTTTATTATAAGCCACATAAAACCTTTTCGGAGAAGTAGACTGATACATAATCTCATAATTTCAAAGTTTGCACTTTCAGATATGTTTTAGTTTAGTCTAATAGGGAAAAAAATCAGATCTTTGGCTTAGCATTTCATTTTAAAATGATGGTTTTAAGACAATCTTGTTACATTTGGCCTGTCAATAAATTATTTAAAAGTAAGAGTAAAGATGGAATAGACACTGATATCTGTTTTAAACATGGGAAGGAAAAAAAGATTTTGTATCACTTCTTTGTAGGTGAAAAGGAAACTGTTGCCTATTTCTGTGCCCATTTCGAAGAACAACTGAAAATTTACAAAAAACAGGTGGGCTTTGATCTATAGTAGTAAATGTTCCTTAATATTTATAAATGACTGTGTATCTCTTTAAATTTCATGAAAATAAACATTGTACTGTTCATAATTAAGCAAAGCAGCACTTATCACGAAGTTAAAAAACACATAAGCTAAGAGTATTCTTAATATTCTTTAAGAATAATCATTGAGTCCGATACTTTAGACTGTGTTTGGATAACATAAGGAGATTAATTATTACAATCCAAGAAGTATCTAGACTAAGAATTGAAAGTCATCTCTTGGTACCACCTATAGTTCTACTTCCTGGAGATAACAATTTGATGTGTATCTTTCAATATCTTTTTTTCTCTGCCCATAGGTATTCATACACTCAATATAGGAATGCAGTCATATAAACCAAAATCAATTGAAAACTGTTAGGTGAAATACAAGTTCAATCATTTCCATACAAGATTAATAGGTAACAGTCAGTAATGCTCTTATCCATTAATAATGACTAGTCTGAATGTGTAATGCCATGGAATGTATAATGAATGT